TGCAGCAATTTTTTCCTGTGTCTTCTCGATTTACTACAGTATCAGTTTGATAAAAGCATCGAGAGAACTCCTTGATATCATATTTATTTTATATTTCTTTGTCAAATTTGACTGGAAGCTTTCGTTTTATAATCTTAGGGGCCTCTAATATTGTCACTAATAGATTATTTTGTACGGTAATGTTTATAAATATACACTCCTTCTATCTGACATATGCTGAATAAAACTTTAATGCATATGAAATCAAATTATGAAAGAAAAGTGTGAATCAATTGTATTGTTGAAGAGTTATTCAGATTTTATTTTCTAGAGGACTTTAGGAACACCCTGTATATATGGAACAAGTCCTACATGTCAGGATGTAAAAATCGAGCTGGTAAGTTCTACAGTGTGAAATCATTAATAATTTGTTTTCCTGTTATTTTTCTGTAGTTCGAGCTGACTGAAAGCCAACAATAGTCAACAATAATAGCAATACAACTGTAGTACCGATTGCTAAACCATGCAGATCAGCATGAAGTTTACCATCTGGGGATGAATACTGTTTCAGCACATACCCTACATTGAATGAATCAATGATAAGTTTGCCTATTGACACGGTATCATCCTTGGCAAAAGTTCCTCGGTCTTAAAGTGTGGATTGTTCTCTTTAGGTTTTTATTGTCGATCTTCAACAACAATTAGAAAGTCAATCAATCAATTCATCTCGATTAATTCATTCCTCTCAACTAGTATCGATCATTTTGCAGACATTCGATTTCTGAATCTAAATACTGATGGTCTTGAACAAGTCTTATTTTTAAAATGATGTTGATCCATCTGTCATAACTAAACATTTCGCTGATATTACGAAAAATGAAGTGATTTTCAAAATGAAAAATAAATTATAATCATGCATGAATCGATCTTTTGAATCATTGATGTACGTTATGGTGATAGTCAAATATGGATTATTCACTTGATATTATGCTCTTGGTAATGTCACTGATGAAAAAAGGTACCTATGATTCAAGTCTCGAATTGCGTAAAAACATCGCTCGAAAACAAGTACTTAAATCATATTAAAAAAAATCATTTAATAAAGGTCATTCTGACATTGCTATGTATTTAAATGATATAGTTTGTGTATATGAACGACAGAAAATTTATTCACAAGCACTTAAATATTATCAAAAAGCATTCGACATTCGTTTAGATTATTTATCTGAACATCATTCCGACGTTAGCCAATCACATCATAATATTGCTAATATATATCGTTGTCAAGATCAATATGACCATGTATTGAAATATTACAATGAATCACTTACAATTAAAATGAAATATCTCCCTAAGAAACATCATACGATTGTTTTTACCCTTGAGAACATGAGTAATATTTATAATGACAAATGAGAACTCCATGAAGCACTCAAGTATCACGAAAAAACTGCTATTATCTATTGTCATTAATTATTTCGTACACGTCCAACTGTATTACAAATTGAAGAATAAACATATCAAATATTTATCTTAATTATATAATCATGATTTCAATTACAATCAATCCCATATGAGCACAGACCGGGTAAAAAGACTAATCGTATTTCTTGTCATATCGGTACGTCGTGGCGAGTCTTTTTCTCAAAAAGTCCTAGTATATGTCTGGTCCGAAATCAATTGTAGTCCATAGCTCACGTCCTGACTGCTTAGCGTATTGGCGTCATTCTGTCTCTTATCAGTGGCGGATCTAGAATTTTTTTAATGTGGGGTGATTCGATGGAGATTGGGGCATTTCTGAGGGGATATGGGATGCTTCCGTGGGGATATGGAGCGATTATAATCATAAAACGTGTTTTGAAACTCATTTGAGGTAGTATCAGCTCATTTTTTATCCTTTTCTGCTGGAAAAACCGAAAAAGTTTTTTTGAATGGGTCGATCGCTCCCAGCACCATCCCCATAAATCTGCCACTGTCTCTAATGCCTAGTTTTTTTGAGGAAAAGACTAGACATGTTGTGCCGTTCTGACTTCCATCAAATAAACTATTTTAAATAAAAGAAGTAAGAGCGCCCATGACTCCGAGCTTCGAACACACATACGATATATCACTTACTCATCGTCCAGACTTCAAATTCTCATATGAATAAAAAATTATTTTTTTTACAGAAATACAAAAATATTTAGACAACACTGAGCAAAATAAATTGAAAACTTTTTTATTTTTTTTTAACCTTTGAGGACGGATGGTACACCACATACACCACAGTTTTTTTTTGAACAATGATGTATAAAGTATGCATTGACGATCAGAAATCGTTGTGTATACGTTACAGTATGCTTATTGTAGTGATATACAGGATATGGGTGTGTGTGTGTGTAGATGCAGAGATCACTCCACACTCACATCCACAGTCTCGTTTGTTCCAAAAAAAACAATCCATTCCTCAAACGGTTAAGGAGCATCGTCTGATTATAATCAATTAGAAATAATTATAATTATGCGGAGAAATAATGTTTAAGTACAAAAATAAATTAAAAATTATTTAAACTGAAAAGACACCAAATACTATTGATATCCCGATTTAATTTAATCTTAAATTTCAAGTGAAATATTTTAACTATGCAACTTAATAAAATTTGTGCTATTTAAATGTATCCTTAAATTTAAATTATCAGAATTTATATTTTAAATAAAATAAAATATTTAAATTATCAGAATTTATATTTTAAATAAAATAAAATATTTAAATTATCCTTAAATAAAATATTTTCAATCTAATTTTCACATGTAATAAACTTTAACATATTTGCACTTCTTGCTAAGAAATAAATATTGTGCGTTTTACTTTTTCATATTTTTCTTTTTACCTACGAAACTGTAAAATACGATGAGACATATCAAACTAGGAATATAAACATTATGTTGCCTATTCTTGACTTCAGTATTGATTTTGAAGGACTCTTCTAATTGTCACTCAAATTAGAAAAGAAATCAATAATACTGGTTATTTCAAGGAAATAATACAAATATCGAAAAATTACTCACATTACATTCTATCTCTTTGTCTTTCCATTACCAATCTTGTCGATACATTCTCCAAAAAAATATGGACTGGTCTTAACAAGCACATGTAATAGTTTAGACTAATGTCTGATTGTCTGACAGATTGACGGAAGTTACTCTCTGGCTTAGGCTGTATAAACTGACGTTAGTCTAATTTTTATTTTAACAACAGCTGAAGAGAATGTAATGCTCAATATCAAAAAGAAAGACTATCGAAATGACAGAATTTTCTGTAAAAGTAAATTCTGTCATTTCGATAGTCTTTCTTTCTGATATTGTGCATTATATTCTCTTCAGCTGTTGTTAAAATAAAAATTAGAATTGAAATTCATTCTTTCATTGATTTTATGACGTGAGTCTATCTGTACGTTATGATTTACTGTCAGGATGCCCGTCAGATATTGAATAATGTCGGATTGGATGTTTAAATCCACTTTTCGTCTCCTTTTTTTTTTTATTCTTCTTCTGTTCTACGAACCAGTCTAGACGAGGTAGATAGACAAATGGAGAAGACATAACGGGATTTAAGAACGTCCCGGACTGGTCCAGACATGGTTGCACGATATTTCTTGTTAAGGTAACTAGTTATGACAGGTTTAGAAGACGTTTTAGACTAGTCCTGATGGATATTGTGGATATTTCGGACTAGCCATGTCGCTTGTCTTCATTCATTTTCTACTTACTTCGGAAGTTATTGCCCAACACATCTGTTTTGCTTTGTTACTATTAGTTTTAGATATACAAACTGTACTGCAGTATCTTATAGTTAGTGTTGCTAGAGAACTATATTTTTTGCATAGAAAATTTTTTCGTGGGGACTTGAAGTATAAATGTTGATCTTTAAATGAAAAAGAATAGTTTTATCAAGTTGAATATTAAAGAACAAGGTCAGATAATGCAGAAATGAAAACAAGTGTAAATATTGTCACATAAAAATATAATAAATAAACCACTATAGTCGTATCTCTTGCATTGTCTACATGAAAAATATGTACTGGGTTGGCAAGAAAGTTTTGCGTCTTTTTCTATTATCTTAATAATAAAAAAAAGACGCAAAACTTTCTTACCAGCCCACTATTTTTATATGGTTTGGGTTCTTTGTTCTTTTTCTCTATATTTTTCGCTCTGAAATTATGATATATGATTTCGAGAATCTTATATTTATGATTTAGACAGAAATAGTAGTGTAATTTTCATATAGATCATTATACAATGAATTGCAACAACTTCTCACAGATCATTTATTTTGTATATTTTTTCCTATGGGAGGATATGTTTATAAGAAAATCATACGAATGATAACATTCAACTGTTATAGTTTACTATCATGATTAAAAATTTGGATGAACAATAAAAATGGTGACTATACTTGAGTTGGCCAAAACTAAGCATTTCACAAATACATGAATGCACTTATATTTTACAAAATTCTATATGAGATTTACCAAGAATCATCTTTGAATTGTTGAATGAATATGAGTTTTTACTGAAACGTCTTTCTGATAGATCGAATCTTAATAATTTAGTAATTGAAAAATTAGGAATGACGAAATCATGGTATCAAAGATTGATGTTCGAATAAGTTCTCTCTTATTTTGTGTATGTTTAGTTATTTTACAGACGAACTATGTAACCATAAAAAAAACACACCTTAACATTGATTTATCTTTATCATTTTCAAAATAGTGTCAAGGTAATATGAAACAATAATAAGAGCAAAGTATAGCGAGAGAAGTAATGGCTAAAATGATATCTTATCACCGGTAGAATTTGCCCGATGATGATGATGATGATGGCTATAAAAGTTCTGTCTTTATGTCTTATTATTACACAAAGTTTTACTGCTATTTGTATGCCGGTGTTTGTTGTTGTTTTTGGTCAAAGTTGACTTTTTGTTATATTGAAAATTAATACAATAGTTAAAATTATTTTTTAGATTAACTGAAGTCGACAATATGCAGGACGAACCTATAAAGTATGTGTATCATTATCATATGAAAACAAGCAAAAGCTATCATTTGATGATCTTCCTTTGATTTAATAGATATTTTACATGTAATGTTTTTGATTAGTTCTAGAGAACGATTATTACCAGCGACTAGTTCACCAAGGAGTTACAATCGATGGTTGATTTTTTTGATTCTTCTTCTTCTTATTTCGACCATCGTTTTGGCAATTTTATTCGGTCTTGAAAAGGGCAAAAAGAAAACAGACAGTACTGACTTTCACGTTGTCTTTTCTTTTTTGTAAGATATAAATTTTATGTATTTTCAGACGTTGAAGATCTATGCTTAACACCTTATTGTGTCAAAGCAGGTATGTTTCTCATATTTTAATATAATGATTTCTATAAATTAATGGTTGTAGCGGATTATTTATTGGATTCTATTGATGAAACAGTTAATCCTTGTGAAGATTTTTATCATTTTACTTGTGGATCATGGTTAAAAAATGCTCATATTCCAGAAGATAGTAAGTTAATATATTTTCAAAGACAAAAATAAATTTTTTTTTTCTTTCTTAGGTGGTGTTCAAAATATTTTCAACCTTTTGGATACACAATTGGATACAAATATAATCGGTATAATATTAAATATTTCTTATTCATTTTCAATTTTATTTATTCAGATCTTTTGTCGACAAGACCACCCAATGGAACTGTTGAACCAAATGCCATAATAAATGCACGTAATTTATATGATTCATGTATGAATGAAGCTGGTATCGAAACCGATGGTGTTGAACCTATTCTTTCCATTGTTAACAATGAACTTGGTGGATGGCCTATTTTACAAGGTCCTACATGGAGAACTCCACCGAATTTTAATTTATCAGATCTTTTACTCAAACTGCGTAAATATGATGATGGAATTATTTTTAGTGTTAATACAGCAACTAATCAACAAAATTCATCAATTAATGATATTGAAGTAAGAAATCAAGCTTGTTGTATATTGTTTTTTGTTTTTAAATAAAAAATAATATTTCAGCTTGGACAAGGTACTCTTGGTTTACAAGAAACAGAATATTATAATAATGAAACGGATATTACTAGAGCTTATCGTCAATTTATGCATGATTTAGCGTCGGAATTAACAAATGACACAGGAGCAATTGATACTGATGTTATTGCAATGTACTTATTGGAAAAGAATATTTCTCAAGTAATTTCTTTTTGAATTTTTTTTTTGGATGTTGTATAAAATATATTTAATTTAGTATCATTGGACTGAAGCAGAACAAAGTCGTCGAGATAATGAAACGATTCGAACAACTGTTGGCAATCTTCCGCAATCATTCGAAGTTGATGTAAGACTTTCTCTAAAGTTATCTAATTAATTTTTAACTTATATAAATCTATAGTTTGATTTTACTAATTTTCTTCGTCAATCTTATCTTCTTGGCAATGTAACTTTAGTCGACACAGACATTGTAACTGTTAGTGAAGCTGCTTATTTAGTAAATGTTACTGCAATTCTTGATCAATATCCATCACGTGTTGTACAAAATTATTTAATTTGGCGTTTTATGATGAATCGTGCAAGCAGTATGCCAAGACGAATTCGAAGTACTCGTGAACAATTTGATCGAGTCTTTAAAGGCACAACTGCAGAATCAACACGTGCAAAAACTTGTGCAAATTATGTTAATGATAATATGGGTTTTGCTGTATCGAGACTTTATATTAAAAAATATTTTGATAGTGATGCTCGTAATCAATCAAAAGAGATTATTAAAAATATTCGAAGTTCAATGGATTCAATGCTTCAACAAGCTACATGGATGGATGATGACTCAAAATCAAAAGCTCGTGATAAAGTAATAGAACTTTTTTTCGAAATTTAATTAGACAAATTAATGAATTTCTTTTTTTTTCCTATTTAGCTTCAAGCTGTCTATGAAAATATTGGTTATCCTGACTATTTAGATAGTGATAATACAACACAATTGGAAAAAATGTATGCTGAAGTAAGTTTGTCATTTGATCTTAATAAATTCAAAATTTTATTGTATTTCAATAATTATAGTATGTCTTTCAAACATCATATGTTAATAATGTTCTTCAAATGCAAAAAGTTAAAGCTCGAGAAGCTTTTCGAACACTTCGTGAACCTGTCGATCATCGTGCATGGGGTGATCTTCCTCCAACTGTAGTCAATGCTTTCTATGAACCATCAACAAATGCTATCTGTAACGTTTCATTATCTATTAAAACATATTATCAATGTCTTTGTTTTTTTTTCTTTAGCTTTTCCAGCTGGTATTCTACAAATGCCGTATTTTAATAAAGATGCACCTAAGTAAATTTGTGTTTTCTCTTAAAAAAGAAATCTAATTGATTATTGTTCTATTTTTGTTTTAGATACCTTAATTATGGTGGTATGTAATCATTTGATTTTCATCGATCGAAAAATTGTTCTTTGGTTTAGGTATTGGTATGGTTATTGGACATGAGATAACACATGGATTTGATGATGATGGTCGTCAATATGATAAAGATGGAGATCGAATTCCTTGGTGGTCAAATAATACAATAAATCAATTTAATGAACGTAAACAATGTATTATTGATCAATATAGCAATTATACAGTGGAACAAATTCATAAAAACGTCTCTTTTCTCTTAGTTATTGATTGAATGATAAATTAATATAATTTTTCTTTTAGTTGAATGGTGAACAAACACAAGGAGAAAATATTGCTGATAATGGTGGAATTAAAAGTTCGTTCTTTGTAAGTAAATCATATTGATGTGTTGAAACTTTTGAAAATATAAATCTTTATTAAATAGGCATATCAAAATTGGGCAAAAGAAAATGCAAATGTCGACAAAAGATTACCAGGTTTAAATAAATATTCTCAAGAACAAATGTTCTTTATTGGATATGCACATGGATGGTGTGCAAAATTTACCGATGCTTATGCTTTAAATAGAGTTTTAACAGATGTTCATTCTCTTGCACAATTTAGGTATTTATATTCTTTCTGTTTGTTATTTAGTAATTCTTACATACGCTTGGTTTTTTATTTTACTTTCAGAGTTCTTGGTCCATTATCGAATTTTGCTGAATTCGATCGTGTATTCAGTTGCACCCCTGGTCAAGGAAATAGTCGAATTAACAAATGCGCTGTTTGGTAGTGTGTTTGTGTGTGTATGATGATTTAAATAAATGATATGTAATCGGTTTTTTTTTATTGTCATGTCTCGTTTAGTCAATAAATAGAAAAAAATAAAGAAAATGTTTCATCTTATAGTCGCAAACTATTGCACGTCAGCTAATTCCTTGCGCAGTCGAATTTATCACGAATCTGTGATGAATAGAAATATGAAAATTGATTAGCAGATATAAATATTTCATTATATAACAAATATAGTTCTTGTCTGTTTCAAAAACTTTTCTGTAAAATTATAATTCAAGCATTTTCTATAATAATTATTACCGATAACAACATATTCTTTTCAATAAAGTAGTGTTCAATTTTTTCTTGAGCAAGATGAATCTCAACAATATTTAGAAACAAAAAGAATCTTACATATGACTCTAACATCGTCACTCAAAAGATTGATCTTTTCATTCATAATAAGCAATAATCTATTGATGAGAAACTGTTCAAATTATTTCATTTTCTCTTTTTTATTTAATGTTCATGTGAATCTCTCTAATAATTAAGGATTCAATCTATAATATCATATGTATACTTTATTTGAAGATTGATACAAATAATCATAATGAAAACACATTTAAAAAAGACGTTGTCAATAACTTGATTTTTTTAGTGTGTCTAATTTAATAACTAAGAAATAAAATTAACGATTAGAAAAGAGAATAGGTTGGAAATATTATAACCGTGAACATTTCGAGGGGTAACCTCCCTCAAAAAAATTCGAAAAACTTGAGCAAAATCTTTCAATCAACCTGCTGAGACATTGACTCGTCGCCAATTCTGGTGACCTTGAAACATATCTAGTTATGATATCTGATGCATGTATATTTTATTTTGTTTTTCAATAACGAATGTTAAGTCAAAAATAACCACTAGGAATTGCATGGATGCAAAAACAAACATAATATATTCAAATAAATTGTTTATTTCTACGGTTGAGTCTCTTTGAAAGAGATTTTATTAGATATGAATGGTATCTTTCCGTTTCATCGACACTTTTTTTTCTGAACAACTTCCAAATTTTACTAAAGAAATCTTGCTTTGAAGAAAGAAATAAAATAAACAATGATGAAATTACGTAATATTTCTATAAACGAATGTTATGATTACTAGCAAGATCAGTAAAATGCTTTTGATTAGTCGACTTGACTATTTGTCACACATAAGATTAGTTATACGGATAATAATAGAGAAATGTAATGTCTTTGTTTCTGGATACGTATATATATATATATATATGAGTATTGACTGACATATATCCCTATAAAAATGTTTTCGAGCATTAAAACTACTCAACGAAAAGGATGTTTATTATATGATGAATATTATTATGTTTCTGATCGTATTCGTAGCACTAACACATTTTGGCGATATGAATATCTTATTGGTTGTCATGAGAAAGGGGTTTTTGTCATTAGGTGAATATTTCAATAAAATTAGTAAAACAATTGGTAAAAAATCAAAATAATTTTTAGTTGTTATAATCTTATGAACTAGTGAATTGTATTTTCATTTCTGTTATTACAATCATTTTCTCTATAATACAATGTTTTTTTTTTGTGTCACTTATTGTTGAATAAAATGTCGATGGCAAGGAAAAAAAATTCTGTCGATGAAACGAGAAAATTAATTAATTATTCTTAACGTGTCGATGAAATGGGACTAAACCTACATAAATGTATTGTAAGTAATTCAAAGAAAAACAAAATTTTTCTTATATGATGCTTCAAAAAAAATTACCTTTTTTCAACGTTTACTCAAACAGACGCACGACACTCTCTT